ATCTCTCAATAGTGCGATGATCACGCTTAAGTTTTCGTGAAATATCTAATGTTTTCATACCTCGTCCAAAGGCATTGAACTATTTCACTCTTTTCGCAGCAGAAAGATCCTTTTTCTTCCCCATATTGCTTGAAAATGGTGCTCTGCTTAATAATGTGGAACACCCTCCTTTAGTAGTTTTTCCTTAAATTGGGCTCACCGGCCCAATTATCACAGGTGTCCGAGATTGTTTTCAGTGATCAAAAGAGCCCTGACACACAATGCCATCCATGATGTTAAACTGAAAAACAAAATATTTAATCTTTGTGACACTTAAATAGAATTTGCATAATTTGGAACAGGGTGTAAACGATGATAGCGTTCCTTCATTTTTATATTTAATGAAAGCTCTTTTCTTATTATTTATAGCTTTTTTTAACTTTGGCCGTAAGCCACATAGGTTTGATTTTTAGCCTTTTAAACTTGTTGCCCATGGGAATATGTTTTGCAGTGTGTTCACATAGTCTTTTTGAAGAACTCCCATTTCTGTGTTGTGTTTATTGATTGCTAATATTCCCTCCCAGTCTAAGTCTTGGAGAGAAAGCTCTCAGCCTTGGAAAATTAGCTCTCTTTAACCGCTTTCCTGCCTCCCTATAGCAGAAAATTACTGTTACAGGGCGGCAGGGGTGCACAAAATCACGTGTATATATACGTGATTTCGCATTTCCGGTAAGGGGCACGCACCCTACCCACGCCGCCATTGGCAGCCTCACCTGTCGCTCACCGAGTCCCGGCCAGTGTCTCCTCGCCGACACCCGACCATCCTGTGTATCATCGACCAGGGAGAGACTGTATGTAAACAAAACAGATCCCTCCCCTGTCAGCTCCTGAACATTGCTTTGTAGCAAAGCAATGTGCTTACACAGTAAAGCGCACACACACACCCCACAGTAAAACACAAAACACATCACACAGTTACCCCTTTGCTTGCCCCAGATGTTAACCCCTTGCTGCTCAGTGTCATTAGTACAGTATCAGTGCTTTTTATTAGCACTGATCATTGTATTGGTGTCACTGGGATGCCCGCCACAGTCCTGCTATGCAATAAGTCGATGATCGCCACCATTACTAGTATAAAATAAAATTCCAATATATACCACCATTTGTAGACGCTATAACTTTCACGTAAATCCATTAATTTACATGTATTGGGATTTTTTTTAGCAAGGACATGTAGCAGAATACATTTTGGCCTAAATTTATGATGAAATTTGATTTTTTTTTTTTTAATTTTTACTGGATATGTTTAATAGCAAAAAGTCAAAAATATTTTTTTTAATATCACAGAGGTGATCAAAACACCACCTAAAAGAAAGCTCTATTTGTGGGAAAAAAGGACATACATTTCATTTGGGTGCAGCATTGCATGACCGTGCAATTGTTCAGTTACAGTAACTCAGGCGCGCGTATCGCAAAAAAATGGCCTGGTCAGGAAGGGGGATAAATCCTCTGGAGGGAAAGTGGTTAAGTTGAGCATTTTTATTTTTCCCGTATGTGCTAACAATAAATGAAATCATGTTATGGTCACTGCTACCCAGATGTTCTTTTATATGGACATTAGTAGTCTCTGCATGGTTTGAAATTACAGGTCCAGCAGAGCATCATTCCTAGTTGGGGTCTCTATGAACTGTACTATAAATCCTTAGTAGGTTTATAAATTTTGCCCTGTAACTGTTCCTGCAATGCCATTACTGCACTCAATTTTCCGGGTAGTTAAAATCCCCCCATTATTATCACTGTCACAGTCCTTGCAGCGCTTTCGATCTGTGCTAGGAGCTGAGTTTCCACCTCCTCATTAACACTGAGTGGCCTATAACAAACTCCAATAATTATCTTTGTAGTACGAACCTCCATGTCAGCAGTTCCACCCATAATGCTTCAGCCTCATCACACACTCCATCAACTAGATCCTCTTTCACACTTGCTCTGAGATCACTTCTCACATAGAGACAGACAGCACCACCTTTCCTTTTTACCCTGTCTCTCCAAAAGAGAACATAGCCAGGAATATTAATGGCCCAGTCATGTCAAGAATAAAGCCAAGATTCAGAAATACCAAATAAATCATAGTTCTCTTCATGCACCAAAGCTTCCAAACTCAGCTATTTTGCTTGGCAGACTTCTGGCATTGGTGAACAAACACTTTAATTCATTGACACCTGGTGCACCCGTATTTTTTGCATATTTTTTATTTTCATACAAATGGTACCAGTTCCAGTGGAACCTTCTTATCACCTGCCATAGCCCTCCCCCCATCTTTCTCCATTCCACCCACAAATAAGTACTGACCCCTGTCTGATCTGTCTGCCCCAATATAATCTAATTCTCCCTCCCCCCATCGATCCCTAGTTTAAAATACTCCTCCAGCCTTCCCATAAAAACCTCTCCCCCAGCACAGCAGATTCATTTCCATTTAGGTGCAACCATCTCTAGCATATAGGATGCACCCCAATGAAAAGTCAGCCCATTGCTCTAGAAACCCAAAATCCTTCCTTCTTACACATTTTAATGGTTCGAAACATGTTCCTGCTTTCAGGACTGAAAAGCAGCCTAAGGAGTAAACTGCTATGTAATCTTCAACCATTCCTACCAGGAAGCTGTTTTCTTTGCTTCAGCACACCCTTAGCTTCCACGTTGAAGTCTCCAAAGCCTAACAAGCCTTCTTTAGCTCAAAGGATAAGTTCAGCATGGAACATGTAACATGTTCCTGTTCCTGCAGCCCATCCCCGATCGAAGAAACAAAAAGTCTCACTAAAGCAGAAAAAGAATAGCAGATCCTATCCTGGACAAACTACTATTTTTCAGCTTTGTCAGCTGTTTACAAAAATCTGCAACCAGCACCTGAAGGTGTTGCAGGATCTGTGTCGAAGTGGGGGATAACCTATGTAGCCCTCTAGCCCTCCTAGTCTCCAGGTTCAACAACGATCAGGGTAGGTTTTGTGTTCAGGTCAAAGATCTGTTGATGGAAACATGGAGTGCACCTTGGTATCAGTACACCCTGATTAATTCCTTTCCTTCCCTGAAGTTTTTTTCTTGTCTGCTCTGCAGGATCAAGATTAAGGGGCATTTGGGTCCTCATTGCCCCGTATTTGGCACAGATGGATGCTGTACGGCAGCCTGGGAGGACTTCTTGCAGATGTTCTGTGGGCTTTGCCTGACCGTCCAGATCTGTTGTCACAAGGACGTATTTATCCTTTTTCTTGGTTTCTAACAGCCAAAGGAGTGGGGCATCTCTCAATCTGTGATGCTGAAGACTAAGAAGTCCACTTCCTGCAAGTCTATCGTCGGATCTGCTAAACCAGTGGTGGGCAACCTTTTTTTTCAACTGAGCCAAATCTCGCCAAAACCACGATTGAAATTTATTTTGAGAGCCACATTTTTAAAACTGAAAATACATAGGATGGTACACTGTTTTTAGTTTCAATAAGTTTTTATAGTAATTCATCCCCCATATAGTAATTAATCCCCCATATAGTAATTCATCCCCCATATAGTAATTCATCCCCCATAGTAATTCATCCCCCATATAGTAATTCATCCCCCCTATAGTAATTCATCCCCCATATTAATTCATCCCCCATATAGTAATTCATCCCCCATATAGTAATTCATCCCCCATATAGTAATTCATCCCCCATATAGTAATTCATCCCCCCATAGTAATTCATCCCCCATAGTAATTCCTCCCCCATATAGTAATTCATCCCCCATAGTAATTCATCCCCCATATAGTAATTCATCCCCCATATAGTAATGCATCCCCCATAGTAATTCATCCCCCATATAGTAATTCATCCCCCATAGTAATTCATCCCCCATATTAATTCATCCCTCATATAGTAGTAGTAAGTAAGTAGCAAGTAGTAAGTCAAGTCCCTCCTGTGTCAATTCACTTACCTTTGCTCCGCGCGTTCCTCTCGCCGTGCTCCCCGCGCCGTTCCGGTCTTCAGGCTGGACTGTGAGAGGAGCCTAGCTCCCCTCACGTTCGTCACGCTGCCCCGCCTACACACATCCTGACAGCCAATCACTAGCTATCAGGATGTGAGTGGCAGCGAGACTGGCCAATCATTGCTGGGCTAGCTGCAGAGTCCTCGGCCACCCGAGAGGAGGGAGGGGAGGGGAGCGGGCCGCCCGAGAGGAGGGAGGGGAGGGGAGCGAGCGCGCCGGCACACAGAAGAGCCGCATTAAAATGTGTAAAGAGCCGCATGTGGCTCGCGAGCCTGTATTGTAGGAGGTCTCCTATGTGATTCCCACAGTCCAATCCCCTCTGACTGCTTGGGGACTTTCTAGTTGTTTCAAACAGACAATCATTCAGGCATATGTTCTTAATGTTAAAGTCCCCCGCTTTCCATTTACGGCTTACTCCACTAGGGCAATAAGCACATATTTTCAGCATCTTCTGTTCACTACCATGTTCTACCAGATGGTACCTTTCAGCCTCATCCATTGCCAGCTTTGGGCATATGATCCTCCAGGCAGTTCTTTGAGCTGCAGTCTGCCCTCTGTTCATTGTTTTTTTCTTGTGCCTGTTAGCTGCTGTTTACTTTGTTGCCCTCTTCTTAGACTGCTTTTGGATGTCTCGAAGGCTTAGATTTCCCTGTGTCCCTCAATGGACTAGAAAGAAAACAGGGTTTTTGTACTCATCATAAAATAATGTTCTTCAAGTCTGTTGAGGGACACAGGTCCCATCCCTCTGTGGTAATAATTATGCTCTTGGTTTTGTAGTGGCAGGAAATGGAGGCATGTAGGTAGTGGGAGCAGAGTTATACCCTGAGCTGGGTATAGTTTGTGTACCAGTGACCAGTCTTTCTGTAGGTGGCAGTATAACGCAAAGGTTTTAGACTTCCTATGTCCTTTATGGGACACCAAGTTAAGGATTTTACCATGAGTATAAAAATGTTCATTTTTTTTCTATTAACTAGTTATGTGTGAGATGTCTATATAATTTGTCTGTTTTTTAGGCCTGCATCTGAGGAGGATGCTTTGAATGGTGAGTATTCTTGGGAACAGTTATCGGTCTGTGTTGTTTTCATGTTGTGCTACAAAAAAAAAGAAATTTTTTTTTTCCTTAGGCATTGGCTCTCCATTCAAGCCCATTTCGGACATCAATTATTGTTATTCAGGTTAGTTATTTGATAGTGTAAAAGAATTTTAAGGAAAGACATTTTGCTTGTTGAGTGTTAACAATTCATCTTCTGTTTAGCTGTGGAAAGAAACAATCTGATGCGACTGTCCCAGAGTATTCCTTTCACCCCTGTGCCTCTGAAAGGTGAGTTTGCATTAAATGTTTATTGCTCTTAAACAGGTGAAGTAGCTGTGGTTCAAAATATGATCTTAATTTCTTTTAGTTGCTTCTTGTGGCTAAATTGCTTGTGTACAAATTCTTGATCAGTTAATTCTACTCTGCCGTTTTTCTTCTAGAGCTACCCCATTACAGGGTGGTGGGAAGATCATGGCAGTTGTTGATAGTATTGCTTTATCTCCACCTAGAGGCCATACCACAGTGTTGCTGTAAAAGTTGCAAATGCAAAGGGAACTTGCTATGATTTTTTATTTTCAGTTAAAATTCTAAAGTTTCAGATTAGGCAGAACATACACGAAATGCATGATGTATCAAATGCCTGCAACTGATAAGTATTCCTGGTTAAAAGGCAAAACATTTTTTTTCTTTGTCCTGATGGGTGAGATTTCCCCTTACTTCTAACTCTCTTGTATTGCATTGTATTGTTGCTGTATTGTCTCCCATTATATTGTAAAGCGCTGGGCAAGCTGTTGGCGCTTTATAAATCCTGTATAATAATAATAGTAACAATAATAACAATGTGATTGCACTGCAATGGGAACTGATGAGAAATCATCATTCCGTGTATGTCTATATGATTGGTCCTGCTTCTACTATAGTCTGGTTTTTCACTTGAGTTTTTACACTGGTTAGCATAAAAAACTGGTGTAGGAGCAATTGCGTGCAATGCTTAGTCATAATTAAAAAAAAAAAAAAAAAAAAATCACCTAAATCTGCAGCAGGATTTAACATTTGGTTTGAAATCCTTTCCAGGTTTAAAGAGTCACTTTATGAATACTGAAATCTGCCGACTGGTATAAAGAGCAAGCATGCCGGTAGAAGCTGTTATCCTCTGCTTCAGCCTAATACTGGCCCATGCTGATTGGGAAAGCTTCAGCATCTCTCATAGCATTGAAGCTTCTCTATCACCTCTACCTTCCACACATTCCTATTAGCCAGTGAATTGGCCCATAGTAAGGGGCAAATAAGACTTTTCATGGAGGTTGGACTTAGTGGCAATACTGGGGGTGGTTCCTTGTAGCTCCTATCTATATATAGTGTTCCCTGAAGGACTATTATGTCAAATTGTTAATAAGTAGTGATCAAAGTAATCTGGTAAGTGCTGTTCATTCCATCTCGTTCTGATTTGTGTAGGGTCATTAGGGATTGCAGCCATTTTTTTCATAATGCCAAATTATTTTCTCTTTTATTTCACTTGTGCAATTTCGGGGAGGAAGATCAACATGCTTTTGCTAGCACCAGTTTTGCTACAGTAAAGAGAAATGACAAAAGTCAAAACTGGGAGTTGGTACAGTGTTCAGGTTTCAGGTTAAGGAAAGCCTCTTTAGGGTTTTTTGGTATGCCAGTAGCCAGATCCGTATAGGACAACTAGTATACATGGCCAGTATCTTATTTTGGGGCATTCCGCCCATATGTCAAAAGAGGGTACCTGGAGTTTGGCATCCTCTAAAACATGAGCTGATAATGGTAGAAGCAAACTTTTCCTAGTAATGCTGAGCCATGTGCCATCACATAAGCAGTTTATAGTTCTATTCCACCACTTAGATGTAAGTGCAACAATGGGCTGCAGGGTGCCATATATGCTTCCAGTGCTCCTGATCCAGGGCCCCCCTCCCAAAATCTTCATCCAACATTCCACATAGGGAAGAGGAGCAGGACCTGGCCTTCAAGTAGTGAATTGTAGTTAGTAAATATTATACACAGATAGACATGATAAGCAGCCAAGATTTAAAGGCACATGTGGTTAAAGGGCATCAGAGTTTACAAGGAGGTAGATTTATTCGTATTACTGGTGATCAAATTGTTAACCTCTAAATAGCAAAAGATCTCTGATGCTTGGGTGTCGTAGGGTGCGAGTGCCTTTCATACTAATACAAGCATATGTGCCATTCACTACTGAGGGCTCGCTGAAAAATACCACCCTTCCATATAAGTATTTACTTTATGGTGGCCTTTCACAGATGAATATTTATATATGAGTGTATTGTTAATAGATTTACTGTCTGGAAGAAAAATAAAACTAGAAGGTTAAAAAAGATTGTTTGATTCACCAATATCCTTAACGATCATCATATCTGTCTGCCTACTTTCCTCCGATTTGTGTTTTCTGCCCAGACATGATAATAACTTTGCTGAAACAGATCTGTTTCGCTCAGAATCAATAAATGTCACAGTGTGTGTTTTTTTGCTAATTCATAGTTTTGTTCATATTATCTGATTCTGTTAAGTATTGTCCGATCATTTTGTTACATGTATGGCCATCGACGGTTACTATTTAATCCTTTTTGTGTTGCTTTTGTTGCATTTGTTCTGACACAAAATACTGTCCTAATTTATGTTTCAAACAGAATGCAATGCTTCTTTCTACCTTTCTCCTTGTATATACACTCCTACCCTGTCATCTTCCAAAGGCATACTAGGGCATAATTTCCATTTGTTTTCCCAGTAATTACTTATGCAATTTTTTACAGATTTAGTAAGCATGTACTTTCACTGTGCACTTTATTAGGAACACCTTGCTAGTGCCAAGGAAATCTCCCCCACACCATTACACCACCACCAGTCTGAACCGTTGATACAAGGCAGGATGGATCCATTCTTTCATGTTGTTTACGTCAGATTTTGACCCTACCGTGAATGTCGCAGCAACCAGTCTGCCCATTCTCCTCTGGCCTCTGACAACAACAAGCCATTTTCGTCCACACAACTGCCGCTCACGGGATATTTTCTCTTTTTCGGACCATTCTCTGTAAACCCTAGAGATGATTGTGCAAATCCCAGTAGATCAGCAGTTTTAGAAATACTCAGACCAGCCTGTCTGACACCAATAACCATGCCACGTTCAATGTCACTTAAGTCCCCTTTCTTCCCCATTCTGATCCTTGGTTTGAACTTCAGCAAGTTTTCTTCACCACATCTAGATACCTAAATGCATTGAGTTTCTGCCATGTGATTGGCTGATTAGCAATTTATGTTAATAAAGTGGCCAGTAAGTGTATATTAGCTAGAAACTAATTTGTTTCAGTACTGTCATAATGCGTTCACTTGTCACTTTTAGGCTAACTCAGCAACACAGTAAAAGAATAAAGTACAGCAAAGCTCAATGGATATATTCACCAGCCAATATCAACCAAATGTAATGTTTTGCTAATTCAATGACATGAATTGTGACTGGTTGCAGCAGATACTGCACTTCTGTTTACCAGTTTTCTCTTAGTACTGTGTCCTTACTTGGGAAGGATCTCCCTCAATCTGCTGTGGATATATACATTAGTAAATCACCTTTTTATAGGTTTGGGAAGGGGTAAGCCTCGTACACACAATGAGAATATCAGATGAATGATTGTCTGTTTTTTGTTTTTTTTTTTCATGCTAGTCTCATATTAAAAATGAAGAGATTACTAAAATTATGAAAATTCTCATATGACAGAACACAGCTTTGGACTTCATGTAATGTATTGTTTAGTTTCTGAGCATGCGTAGTCTTTGTTGCGCGATCTTTTATGGACGAACACTGTACTGTTTAAATGAAAATGGTTAGTTCTGTTATCGAACGAGAAAAATTTTCATGCTTGTCCCTTCGGATAATTTTGCATGAACTATCGTGATCGGCTCTGGAAAGCTGTGTGTTAATTATCAGATTATCGGATGATTGCTTTGAAAGCATTATTTTTCGTCTGTTTTTCTCATTGTTTGTACCAGGCATTAAAACCACTGTCAAGATTTGATCAAGACCTGAAAGTAGCTTACATGCTGCCTCCAGTAAAAGTGGTCATTGAGACAGGAAGCGAAGGGAAATTTGACTAGTTGAAGATTTAATTTTAAAAAAATGGACAGAGCTAACTCTTAACTCTTTCCAGCAGTGAATTTTAAGTATTTTGGTAGGAGTTGCACCAACTGCTGTGTTTCTGCGTTTTTGTACTTATTATAGGATCATATAATGTGTACTGATTGATCAGATGAAATTATAGTCATTATGTGTATTGCAGGTGAATTGGTGACCGTGTATCGCTTAGAGGAAAGCTCTCCAAGCATCCTGAACAACAGCATGTCATCCTGGTCACAGAGAGGGCTGTGTGCTAAAATTGAGTTTCTGAGTAAAGAACAGATGGGCGGTGGATTGAGACGAGCTGTGAAAGTGGCCTGTACATGGTCAGAGAATGACATCCTGAAGGCTGGACATTTCTACATCATCAAGTCATTCCTACCCGAGGTGGTAAATACCTGGTTAGGGGTGTACAAAGAAGATACTGTCCTGCATCTCTGCCTTAAAGTAAGTGTTTTTTGTATTTCCTTTGTTTTATTAGTGGGGGAAAAAAGACCATTGAATAGTCCATTAAAAAAGTACTCTTCAGTCTGGATTTTCTAGCTGTTTTATCTATGATGACATTAAATGCTAATAATATAGCATCCAGAGAACCAGAATTTAGATATTTACTTCAATGAAGTAGCACTTGAATTAGGCTTAGAAATTAAAGAGAACCTATGTCCTGTGGACACAGCTGATCATGTGATGAGGTGAAAAGCCAATCACAATGCCTTTTACCACGTGATCAGCTGTGTCCAATGACACAGCAGATCACCGAGTAAATACAGTTGCCAGTTATCGGCTGCACTTTCCTCATGCTGTCAGATTGTGAGGAAAGTGCTGCCGATAACCAGCAACTGTCACAGAGCAGATCGGCACTGATGGTCAGTGCCCAGCAGTGCCACCCCTCAGTGCCCAGCAATGCCACCCAGCAGTAGCACCAGTCAGTACTGTCAGTCAGTGCCGCCTATCAGTGCCCATCATTGCTGCATATCAGGGCAGCATCATCAGTGCCTCCTTATCTATGCCCATCAGTGCTGCATATCAGTGCCCATGAGTGCTGCCTATCAGTGCAGCCTCATCAACGCACATCAGTGAAGGAGAAAAATTAACTGTTTGCAAAATTTTATAATAGAAACAAAGCATAACTTTTTTTTTTTTTTTGGCTCGTTTTTTTTTTTTTATAGAGCAAAAAATAAAACACCTAGTGGCGATTAAATACCAACAAAAAAATCTCTGTCTGTGTGAAAACAATGATAAAAATTTAATATGGGTACAGTGTTGCATGACCGCGCAATTGTCATTCAAAGTATGAGAGCACTGAAAGCTGGAAATTGGCCTGGGCGCCAAGGGGGTAAAGTGCCCGGGTAGGCAAGTGGTTAAACACGATCTACAGTATGAATGTAGGACAGATGGATGATTGACCAGCTCCTCCCTCTCCATTCATAGATCTGCTTCATTCATAGAAGCTGCTGCATGTTTTCTATGAATGGCAGAGCTTGGCAGAAAGGGCAGACATAGTCGTGGTCTCTTGATGAGAGCCTGTGACAGCCCTTTAGTTTTATTATCCCCTGTTGCACTGGAAGATTTCAGGGTTTGGGAAGGGAATCAAAGATGGAGGAAGATTTCCACTAAAAGAAGAATCAGCACAGGGGACATATCGTATTGACTGTAAGTTATGTCCCTTCTGCTAATTTTTCTGTATTAATTTTAGTTACACTTAAGCTTTGGGAGCATTTTATACTCCACCAAAGTCCACCGTCTGTATTCCTCACCAGTGCCATGTTCTAAGTAGGAGAACCTGCACTGCAAATGGGCCAGCACTGGCTGGTCCTTATCAGCTTTTAGTAAGTCTTCTGATTCTGAGAGGAGTCCATTGCTGGACAGCCAATAAGAAATATCCATGTCACACAGACCGTGACATTGACACCTGAAGCACTCACCACCTGTGCACAAAAGAAGAGAAGACCCAGGAATCATAATGTCACATTACCATGGATTTAGGTGAGTAAAAGGGGCATTTAGGTAGACATTTTTAATGCCAAGGAATGTTTAGAGGGGGTAGGGCACCCAGACGTTTGTAAATGTTTCAGGAGTTTGTCAGGACTTTTAAGGCTCCATTCATATTTGTGTGACTCCAAAGTTGTGCGATTTGATCGTGCAACTTTGATTTGATTTTCAGAGCAACTTTGATCTGACTTTATACTCTCTGGACCTAAGTCACATCAAAGTAGTGAAGGCACCTATTCAAATTTGTTGCGACTTTGTTGCACACATCCAAATGGGTGCCATTGAAAAGAATGGGCTGCGGCTTGTCATGTCCAAAATCGCATGACAAGTTGCACAGATGTGAATGGCCTACAATAACTGTAATTGTGAATTTTTTCTGGCTATCCAGTTGTCTCTTCAAAGCCTAATGGATTCTGTAAAACCACTTTCATCCGCATATCAGATCACAGCCTGATACAATATAACAGTAAGCCACAACTACAGGTTTTGGTGATGTCATATGTTGTATACGTTCCTGTACAGGAATGGGTAATTTTGCAGTGCAGGTCTACAAGTCATGTCTAACTTTGTTAACCACTTGCCCTCCTGAGGATTTACCCTCCTTCCCGACCAGGCCATTTTTTGTATTACAGCTTTGCGTTACTTTTACTGACAATTGCGCGGTCATGCACCTCTGCACCCAAATGAAATTTACGTCTTTTTGTTTTCCCCATGAATTGAGCTTTTTTTTTATGGTATTTTATCGCCTGTGCGGTTTTTTATTTTTTGCACTATAAAAAAAGAACCATATTTTTGACTTTTTGCTATTAAACATGTCCAGTAAAAAAATTTTCAAAAATCAAATTTCAGCAAAAATTTAGGCCAAAATGTATTCTCTGACATGTCTTTGCTAACAAAAAATCCCAATACATGTAAAATTAAATGGTTTATTTGAAAGTTTTAGCATTTACAAATGGCGGTTATAGATACTGGATTTTTTAAATTTTTTTGTACTAGTAATGGCGGCGATCAGCAACTTATAGCGGGACTGCGGCGGGCATTCTGACACTGGGGGGAACTGACTAACGGCCACTGATATCCCCAGTGACACCAATACAGTGATCACTGCTAAGAAAAGCACAGACAGGGTACTAATGGCACTGGGCAGGAAGGGGTTAACATGAGGGGCGATGAACGGGTTTTACTATGGGGCTGTGTCTGTGTGCTTCACTGTAAGCACACTGCTTTGGATAGCGGTGCATATATATATATATATATATATATATATATATATATATATATATATATATATATATATATTTTTGATTTTGCTCACCCGTGCCACCCTGTAGCAGTATACAGCAGCTGTTAAAATCTATAGACTACCTGGGGCCAGCTAAGCTTTCTCAGCCATCATCTACTAACAGGAATGATAGTCACATTCCCTAATATACTGTACAGATGACCACTAGATGGTGCATTAATATATCTGCACTTGAAATACGGCAATTAAACAATGAAACAGCAAATATATAAAAACATGCAAGTATCATCAAAACAGTAATCCATTTTAATTCCAGCTTGTTCATTGAGAACTGACTGGTTGCTCTTTATCTTGCAGGCAATGGCAACCTAAAATATGATGTTTTAAGGTGTTCTGTTCTATGCATGGTGCCTGATTCTATATTTTATGATTTCTATAAATTTAGGAAATACAGCAGCAGAGGGCGGCACAGAAAATGACATTTGCTTTTAATGCAATGAAGCCAAAATCTATCCCATACTCTCCAAGGTACTCAGTTATATTGTAAAATATTTTCAGGTTGCTGTATTCAAAGCAGAGTTGTATTTGAAAGATGAATTTGCATTATGAGGATAAACAGAAATAAATCCTATAATTGTCAAGATTACATCACGGCATAGTTTATTACATACGGTTGTATAAGCTGTTAATGCATATGGTTGTATATGTAAATCTATAGCACTTATAGTCTCATACTGCAAGGAAGTAATATGTAAATCCATCACACCTATAGTGTTACACAACAAGGAAGTAAAAGCTGGGATTTTGTTATAAATGTAATTTGAAGGACTCTCATAGAACATTGGTTTCTAAGAACTGTAATTTATTTATCCAGTGTTGTGCAAGGCACAATTCAAGTTTGGCAACAGCATTCACAACTGCTGGGGGCTGTTTTTACATTATGGCTTATTTAAAGTGGAGTTCCAGCTGAAAAACAAACAAAAAAGTAAAAGTCAGCAGCTACAAAAACTGTAGCTGCTGACTTTTAAAATACAGTAACTTACCTGTCCCTCGGTCCAGGAGGTGTCTTCACCACCGCTGGTTTCACCGGCCATCTTCTGTCCCTTTCTCCGGTATCTTTAGCGTTGGCACCCGGCTGTGACAGCTTGCGGCTTCACAGCCGGGTGCCCACTGTGCATGTGTGAGAAGCGCTGCGCTTTGTAAATGGCGGAGGGAGGGGGACGACAACTTACGCTTCTGATCATCTAGGTGATCGCAGTGGGAGTGGGAACCTGTCAGATTCGGGTACCCCCTTCCCCCTTGCTGCTCATTAAATATTTGCACCCTTGGGGAATTTGACAGGTACCTGCTCCCACTTCCGCTGCGATCGCCTAGGTGATCGGAAGCGGAAGTTGTCCTCTCTCAGGCATTAAAGGCATTAAAGCGGAACTTACCCTTTTGGGTGGAGCTCCACTTTAAAATGGAGACCACAGTATTTTCTACATGCAAAGTCAGTTATAAAGTATAGACAGCAGTATGGAGCCTTCAGTGTCCTACAGAGTGTTCACTGCATAATGCCGCTGAGAACAATCAATGATGGGGGAATGCTTGGATACATGACTTTGACATTTTTCTTCCAGCCTCTTTTTCCCCTCCATTGATAAACATGAATGAGGCTTTTCTTGCTTTTTAACCCTAATGCATTATGCTTTATGAATGTGCAGTTGCTTTAAAAACGGGCCACTAGTTTTTTTTTGTTGTTTTTTTTTTTTCACATTATAGTATCCTTGTGCATTCACAAACTGGAAAAAAATCTTTAGATTGTAGGACATGGTAGCATTAATCCTATTTTTTTTTGTACTTAGCTATTCCTTTTGTTTTGTTTTATATGTAATATAAGTGAGTGTATGAGAACCTTTCTTTATGATTTCTTCTTTGTGTGGTAACATAAACATCTTAAAAAGTATGGAATTTACTACAGAAATCTGTGTTTGCTTCTTTTGCAGGTTTCTTGAAGTGTTTCTACTATACTGCCATTCAGCTGGGCAGTGGTTTGCCATAGAAGAGTGCATGAACGGAGAATTCCGCAAATATAACAACAACAATGGAGATGAGATTGTCCCAACTAATATGCTGGAGGAAACCATGTTGGCGTTTAGTCACTGGACATTTGAGTATACAAGAGGAGAGCTTCTAGTTCTAGATTTACAAGGTGAGCATCTATCTGGTTCTTGTTTTTTCCCTGATCTGGTGCCATTACTATGTCTGTTCAGACATTTGTGCAGCCACATTTAGGTACAGCTTCTAATGGACTCAATGCATGTATTTTTTTTTTTTTTTTTTTTAAAGGAGTTGGAGAGAATTTAACTGACCCATCAGTCATCAAGTCTGGTGAAAAAAGGCAAGTTGAACCCATTTACTATCGTATTTTTCGCTCCATAAGACACACCTAGGTTTTAGAGGCGGAAAACAAGAAAAAAAATATTCTGTACCAATGGACTGCAGACATAGTACAGGAGATAGACCAGAGACTGCGGACACAGTACAGGAGATGACCAGAGACTGCAGACATACTACAGGAGATGACCAGAGACTGCGGACATAGACTGCGGACATAGTACAGGAGACGACCAGAGACTGCGGACACAGTACAGGAGACGACCAGAGACTGCGGACACAGTACAGGAGACGACCAGAGACTGACTGCGGACGTAATACAGGAGATGATCAGAGACTGAGGACGTAGTACAGGAGATGATCAGAGACTGCGGACATAGTACAGGAGATGACCAGAGACTGCGGACGTAGTAAAGGAGATAGACCAGAGACTGCGGACACAGTACAGGAGATGACCAGAGACTGCAGACATACTACAGGAGACGACCAGAGACTGCGGACATAGTACAGGAGACGACCAGAGACTGCGGACACAGTACAGGAGACGACCAGAGACTGCGGACACAGTACAGGAGACGGCCAGAGACTGCGGACATAGTACAGGAGATGACCAGAGACTGCGGACGTAATACAGGAGATGATCAGAGACTGAGGACGTAGTACAGGAGATGATCAGAGACTGCGGACATAGTACAGGAGATGACCAGAGACTGCGGACGTAGTACAGGAGATGATCAGAGACTGCGGACACAGTACAGGGGATGACCAGAGACGGCGGACGTAGTACAGGAGATGACCAGAGACTGCGGAGGTAGTACAGGAGATGACCAACAGAGACTGTGGACGTAGTACAGGAGATGACCAGAGACTGCGGACGTAGTACAGGAGATGACCAGAGACTGCGGACGTAGTACAGGAGATGACCAGAGACTGCGGAGGTAGTACAGGAGATGACCAGAGACTGCGGACGTAGTACAGGAGATGACCAGAGACTGCGGACGTAGTACAGGAGATGACCAGAGACTGCGGAGGTAGTACAGGAGATGACTAGAGACTGCGGACGTAGTACAGGAGATGACCAGAGACTGCGGACGTAGTACAGGAGATGACCAGAGACTGCGGACGTAGTACAGGAGATGACCAGAGACTGCGGAGGTAGTACAGGAGATGACCAGAGACTGCGGACGTAGTACAGGAGATGACCAGAGACTTCGGACAGTATAGGGGATGACCAAGAGACTGCGGACAGTATAGGGGATGACCAGACACTGCGGACAGTATAGGGGATGACCAAGAGACTGCGGACAGTATAGGGGATGACCAGAGACTGTGGACAGTATAGGGGATGACCAGAGACTGCGGACACAGTACAGGGGATTTGAAGTGACTTGAGGTGCTCTCATGTAACTGTATCCTCCTATGGGTAAGGTGCTGTGATATTATGTGCGGAAAGAATGCGCTGTCCTTGTGAAAGGACAGCGCATTCCTTTTGTGAAAGAAGGCTTGTGAAAGAAGGCTGTCCTTGTGAAAGGAGCACTCAGCGCTGGCAGCACCGAGGACGGCGAGAGCCTGAAGGCTGCTGATAGGGGCCACGTGTGGAGGTACCCCAGCTGTATCCTCCCCTGGATGGGGTGATTGAGGCGTCCATCCTCTTTCTCCCGGACCCCCCTGATGCTTTAAGAGACTGCGACAGTACAGGGATGACCAGAGGACTGCAGACAGTACAGGAGATGACCAGAGACTGCAGACAGTACAACCAGGGAGACTAAGAGACTGCTGACCTTTACCTGGGAGGGAGGGGGAGCGGGTACCTCCAGGCAGTACCCACTCCCAATTCACCTGTAGTTGTCCTCCCTTTAGTGTGGGCACTATCCGCGGACCGCTGCCTTTGTGATTGGTCCAGATTGGCAGTCTTCAGGAATCTGTCATGTGTCCCAGAAGACGCTCATTAAATTGCACCATTCACAAAGCGCAGCGCATTCTCACGCATGCGCACTGGGCACCTGGAGTCACAGCCGAGAGCCCACACTAAAGAAGGCAAGTCACGGGAAGACTGCGCAGGTGCTGTCGATAACAGGTAAGGTTTTGCTGCAAAGAAGATTTCCTTATAGCGAGCGGCCGGCCCGGTATTCTGGCGGTGGTGGAAATTGGACCGGCTGCTCCATATTCGCTCCATAAGATGCACTGACATTTCCCCCCCTTTTTTGAGAGGAACGTCTTATGGAGAGAGAGAAAAATACCGTATATTAGTTATATTTTCAAACTTTTCAGGGTTATGCATAAAATGAGCTTAACAAATAGAATGCCATTAGAATGTTACAGTACAGGGATGACCAGAGACTGCAGACAGTACAGGAGATGACCAGTTCAGACTGCAGACAGTACAAGGGATGACTAAAGAGATATGCTGACCTTTGGGGAGGGAGGGGGAGCGGGTACCTGAATTTGACAGGTACCCACTCCCAATTCCACGTAGTTGTCCTCCCTTTAGTGTGGGCACCCTGCGAGAAGCGCTGCGCTTTGTGATTGGTCTGGCGTCTTCTGGGATCTGTCATGTGTCCCAGAAGACGCCGTACCATTCACAAAGCGCAGCGCTTCTCACGCATGCGCACTGGGCACCTGGCTGTCACAGCCGAGAGCCCACACTAAAGAAGCAGGCACGGGAAGACTGCGCAGTGCTGGTCGAGGAACAGGTAAGGTTCTGCTGCAAAGAAGAGCCGAGCGGCCGGCCCGGTATTCTGGCGGTGGTGGAAATACCGGACCGGCTGCTCCATATTCGCTCCATAAGATGCACTGACATTTCCCCCCCTTTTTTGAGAGGAAAAAAGTGCGTCTTATGGGAGAGAAAAATACCGTATATTAGTTATATTTTCAAACTTTTCAGTGTTATGCATAAAATGAGCTTAACAAATAGAATTTTCCATTAGAATGTTACAGTACTTGCTGTAAATGAACAGTTTTTGTTCATCAGTGTTGTACAGTACAAAGCAGATATTGTTTATATGATAAATTAGTGGTTTACATGGTGGCATAGTGATGACCTTTTATCCTTTGCAGCACTAGGGTCCTTGGTTCAAATCCCAACCAGGCAGCCAACTGTAAATTTACTGATGGTTTGTAGAAATCTGTGATTTTCTTTTTTACATCTGTCAGTAAATGTCAATTAAAGAAATGTTATGTCAGTAAAAATCAGTGCTTTTTTTCAACCCAGATTAGCGTTGGCACTGCAAGTGTAAGAAAGAGCTCCTTGACAGCTTGATGCAGCACCAGCATGCAGCCACTTACCCAGCAGTGTCTGGAGCCAGTCGGGTTTACTTTTAAATAGAAGCAGGCTGGCTGGAGCCAGTGGCAGAAGGAGCAGGCAGCCGCATTTGCCAATCCTGCTCTTCTAGTTCCGGCTGCAGAGTGATCTCAGCAGTGCTCTGCCTGCTGCCTGCTCTCTGCCATAGATATGTAGTTGGATCCCGGAGCTTGTCTGGTGACAGTAGCTCCTGAAGCCTGTGCCCACGACCCCACGTTTCACTCTGCTACACTGCACTCTCCTCCTAAGTAACCTATCCTCCTCTTCTGCCAGCACAATTCTCTATCAGGTACTGTCAAGGAGGGGTATTTGGGGGTGGGAGTAGAGTACTGTAATGGGGGTGGGGCATTTGTCATGCTAGTCATTGATCATCAAATGTAAACTATGTCAATTACCTGTAATGGGTATTGTCAGTGTTTACAGATCGTGTTTATATGTTTAATATATTGCCTGCCGCCCTATATATATATATATATAATATATATATATATATACAGTGGGGATCAAAAGTTTGGGGGGGGGGGGGCTAAAAATTTGTATTAATGTGCATAAAGAAGCCAAGGGTGATGGAAAAATCTCCAAAAGGTATCAAATTACAGATTAGACATTCTTATAATATGTCAACAAAATTTAGATTTTATTTCCATCATTTACACTTTCAAAATAACAGAAAACAAAAAAAATGGCGTCTGCAAAAGTTTGGGCACCCTGCAGAATTTATAGCATGCACTGCCCCCTTTGCCAAGCTGAGACCTGCCAGTGTCATGGATTGTTCTCAATCATCATCTGGGAAGACCAGGTGATGTCAATCTCAAAGGTTTTAAATGCCCAGACTCATCTGACCTTGCCCCAACAATCAGCACCATGGGTTCTTCTAAGCAGTTGTCTAGAAAACTGAAACTGAAAATAGTTGATGCTCACAAAGCTGGAGAAGACTATAAGAAGATAGCAAAACGTTTTCAGATGTCAATATCCTCTGTTCGGAATGTAATTAAGAAATGGCAGTCATCAGGAAAAGTGGAAGTTAAAGCAAGATCTGGAAGACCAAGAAAAATATCAGACAGAAACAGCTCGCAGGATTGTGAGAAAAACAATTCAAAACCCACGTTTGACTTCACGATCCCTCCAGAAAGATCTGGCAGACACTGAAGTTGTGGTACACTATTCCACTATAAAGAGATACTTGTACAAATATGGTCTTCATGGAAGAGTTATCAGAAGAAAACCTCTTTTACGTCCTCACCACAAAAATCATTGTTTGAACTTTGCAAATGAACATATAGACAAGCCTGATGCATTTTGGAAACAAGTTCTGTGGACCGATGAGGTTAAAATTAAACTTTTTTGGCCGGAATGAGCAAAGGTACGTTTGGAGAAGAAGGGGCACAGAATTTAATGAAAAGAACCTCTGTCCAACTGTTAAGCATGGGGTTGGATCAATCATGCTTTGGGGTTGTGTTGCAGCCAGTGGCACAGGGAACATCTCACGAGTAGAAGGAAAAATGGATTCAATAAAATTTCAGCAAATTTTGGATGGTAACTTGATGCCATCTGTGAAAAAGATGAAGTTAAAGAGAGGATGGCTTCTACAAATGGATAATGATCCTAAACACACCTCGAAATCCACGGGGGATTACATCAAGAGGCGTAAACTGAAGGTTTTGCCATGGCCTTCACAATCTCCTGACCTCAACATAATTGAAAATCTATGGATAGACCTTAAAAGAGCAGCGCGTGACAGACAGCCCAGAAATCTCAAAGAACTGGAAGACTTTTGTAAGGAAGAATGAGCAAAGATACCTCAAACAAGAATTGAAAGACTCTTGGCTGGCTACAAAAAGCGTTTACAAGCTGTGATACTTGCCAAAGGGGGCAGTACAAGATATTAACTCTGCAGGGTGCCCAAACTTTTGCAGACGCCATTTTTTTGTCTTTCTGTTATTTTGAAAGTGTAAATGATGGAAATAAAATCTAACTTTTGTTGACATATTATTAGAATGTCTAATCTGTAATTTGATACCTTTTGGAGATTTTTCCATCTTTCCTTGGCTTCTTTATGCACATTAATACAAATTTTTAGCTGGGGTGCCCAAACTTTTGATCCCCACTGTATATATATATATATATATATATATATATATACTGCAATTTGTAGAAACTATAACTTTCACGTAAATTTTTTTACTGCATATGTTTTATAGCAAAAAGTAAAAAAAAAAAAATGTTTTTTTTTTTTTTAAATTGTCAGTCTTTTTTTGTTATAGCACAAAAACTTAAAATTGCAGAGTTGATCAAATACCACTGAAAGAAAGCTCTATTTGTGGGGAAAAAATGACGTAAATTTCATTTATGTACAGCATTACATGACCATGCAATTGTCAATTAAAATAACGCAATGCCATATTGCAAAAATGGCCCGGTCAGGAATGGGGGTAAATCCTCTGGAGAGCAAGTGGTTAAATATCAATTATATTAGTTCCCATTTGGAGTCCTGTAATTTTTTTTCAGATTGTCAGTAAAAAATGTGCTCTGTCAGTAAATTTTCCATGTTCTGTCAGTAAAAAAAAGTTGCGGGAGGTTGGCAACCCTGTTACCAGGGCACTGCCTGCATGGAGTTTTCGTGTTCCCCCTCTAATTTCATGGGATGGCTCTGGGTACTTCGTTCTCCTCCTGCACTCTAAAGTCATCCTGGAAAGTTAATTGTCTGTTGGGCAGAGAATGATGTGAACCTACAATATGTAAATTGCTGCATAAATTGCCAGTGGTATGTAAATACATGTACAAGTGTATACGGTTGTACATGTGAGTGAGTATAAAAGTATTAAGTTCATTGCACATTGAATTGTTGCAGCATCACGACAGGTATTGGCTTTGTGGCTCCGGTTCATCTATATGGCTCCTTCCAAGCAGTCATACCTATTAGAGGTAGCTAAAACGGCTCAGCTAGCTCACAGTTATTAAAATCACAAGTGCTTACATGCTCATGTATTATGCCTTCAGATTTAGGGGGAGGCAATCATTGCTCGGGAAACTTTGATTGTTAGAACACCAAAATAGGAACTCTCTTTAGGAAAGCTAGTTATAATGGCATGATCTGATTTCTTCATTCTTATCCCCATTCTGCAGAAGATGCATGTTATTGTTGTCTGTGTACCTGTTGCTGTACAGCAGTGGAAGAATAGTTTGATTAAAATGGTCATTGCCCCCAAAATGTATACTTTCCCTAAGACTGTGCTGAATTTTTCCACTGCTACTCGTAGACATTTCAATTGTAGATCAGATGTCTGCCAGTTCAGGAGGTGACAATCCTCTCTTGGTGTAACATCGCTTCCTGGGTTTCTAGGGAGAGGAACTATGAGGGATTTTAGAACATCAGTTCCACTAATCAACAAGTGATTGGTTTGTAGGCAATCCCTGGAACAGATGCCCTTTTAACCACTTGCCTACCGGGCACTTATACCCCCTGATTTACCAGGCCAATTTTCAGCTTTCAGCACTGTCGCACTTTGATTGACAATTGCGCGGTCATGCAAGATTGTACCCATATGAAATTTTTATCATTTTTTTCTTACAAATAGAGCTTTCTTTTGGTATTTAATCGCTGCTGGGCACTTTACTTTTTGTGCTATGAGCAAAAAAAGTGCAAAAAATTTTGAAAAAAAAAAAAAAAAAGTTTTTTGTTTCTATTATAAAATTTTTCAAACCAGGTAATTTTTCTCCTTCACTGATGTGTGTTGATGAGGCAGCACTGATGGGCACTGATAGGCGGCACTGATGGGCACTGATAGGCAGCACTGAAGGGCACTGATAGGCAGCACGGATAGGCGGCACTGATAGGCAGCACTAATGAGGTGGCACGGATAGGTGGCACTGATATGTGGCACTGATTGGTGGCACTGATAGGCGACACTGATAATGGGTACTGATAGACAGCACTGATAGGTGGCACTGACTGACATCACTGCTGGGCACTGACTGGCGGCACTGCTGGGCACTGACTGGTACAACCGCTGGGCACTGACTGGCAGCACTGCTGGGCTGCACTGATGGGCACTGGTTGGTGGCACTGGTGGGCACAGGTGGGTGGCACTGGTGGGCACAGGTGGGTGGCACTACTGGGCACAGGTAGGTGGCACTTCTGGGCACAGGTGATGACACTGCTGGGTGGCACAGGTGGGCACACTGCTGAGCACAGGTGGGCGCATTGCTGGGCACAGGTGGGTGGCACTGCTGGGCACAGGTGGGTGGCACTGCTGGGCACAGGTGGGTGCATTGCTGGGCACAGGTGGGTGCACTGCTGGGCACAGGTGGGCGGAACTTGTATGTGGCACTGCTGGGCACCGATCATCAGGGCACTGGTGATCAGTGACCCTGATGATCGGTGCCGATCCCCGCTCTGACAACTGCCGGTTTTCAGCAGTACTTTCCTCACGATCTGACAGCGTGAGGAAAGTGCAGCCGAGAACCGGCATTTGCATTTTTCCCGGTGATCAGCGTGTCATTGGACACGGCTGATCACGTGGTAAAAGGCCGCTGTGATTGGCCATTTACCACGTCACGTGATCAGCTGTGTCCGTAGGACACAGCGATCACGGAGATCACCGGAGGCGCAGGAGAGCGCAGGAGAGCGCGTTCTGGGAGGACGTCATATGACGTCCACCCAGAACTGTCCGGCCGCAGTGCAGCCGTCATTCGGCTATCTGCGGTCGGCAATTAGTTAATTCATTGTTACAGACTTGTCTATCTGTACCAAAGCATTTAGTCTGTTGTGCTAAAGGCTTTTAAGAAGTGAATCCTGGTTAGGTTATTGGTATTTTGGAGTGTGATGAGTGGACTATTATGGCTACTTGACTACTTCAGTCGCTATGTTTCTATTCATCTGTAATTAGGCAATACAGTTAATAATTACATACATCTATTCTAATATAATTAGAATTTACAAGACAAGTCCTAGCATATCTTTGCTTCTCCAACACGTAACAACATTTGTTTTGCATCTGTCTCTCTGTAGGTCATCTGACATGGTATTTGGACCAGCAAATTTAGGAGATGATGCCATTAAGAATTTCCGTGCTAAGCATCACTGTAATTCCTGTTGTAGAAAGCTTAAGCTCCCAGGTAAGTGTATGAGCATTAATTAGTCTTTATCTGTCACAAAACACACTGGGGGGATTCAGTAAAGCTGCTGTGCCACTTTTCTGGTGTTAATCCCTCTTGTTAATGTGTGGTGCCAAATTCATGAAGCATCTGCAACACTTTTGGTTCTGACACCAAATTTGGGTAGTTCTTAAACGCACCACTTCTACACACTTGAATGCCCCAAATTCAAAATAAAATACCAACAGATTGTTTCTTGCCAAGCTAATTAGGGCCAACTTTCTTTGGGCGCGCAGAGACAAATTTTGCAAATGTACAGGATGTTCAAAAATTTTACAATTTCATGTCTAAATAATATATTTACTAGTTTTGTGTAGCATTTGAACAGCAATTCACGGACTGTTGTGTACAGCAGCCTACTGGAGGATATAGGCACTCTTAAACTAGTTAGTGTCCTAGGAGTATAGCCTCCTTTTCTCTATTCTGCTAAGAAACGTCTTATCCTTTTATTTTACTATGTTGTATAGTTACATACTTAGTCTGGCTGAAAAAAGACAAAAGTCCATCCAGTTAAACCTTAAAAAAGAAAAAAAAGTTAGAATTCTATATCCACAGTTGATCCAGAGGAAGGCAAAAACCCCTCAAAGCATGATCCAAATTGCTCCTGCAGGGGAAAAAATTCCTTCCTGATCCCCCGAGAGTCAATCGGATATTTCCTGGATCAACCTATAAATGTTAGTATATAGTTATATTCTGTGTATCCAAGAAAGAATCCAGGCCTTTTTTTAAAGCAATCCACTGAGCTGCCCAGAACCAACTCTTGAGAGAGTCTATTCCACATTTTCACAGCTCTTACTTTGAAGAAACCTTTCCACGTTTGGAGATTACTTTTCTTTTCCTCCAGACGTAAAGAGTGCCCCCTTGTCCTCTGTGATGACCTCAGGGTGAATAGCTCTACACCGAGTTCACTATATGAACCACTGATGTATTTATACATGTTGATCATATCCCCCTTAATCTCCTCTTCTCAAGAGAGAATAAATTCAGTTCCTCTAATCTTTCCTCATAGCTGAGCTCCTCCATGCCTCGTATCAGTTTGGTTGCCCTTCTCTGTACTTTCTCCAGTTCCCCAATGTTCTTTTTGTGAATTGGTGCCCAAAACTAAACTGCTTATTCCAGATGAGGTATTACTAATGATTTGTACCGGGGTAATATGATATCTCTCTCTCTGGAGTCTATACCTCTTTTAATACAAGAGAGGATTTTGCTCACTTTAGAAACCGCAACTTGGAATTGCATTCCATTATTAAGCGTGTGATCTACCAGAACTCCCAGATCCTTCTCCACCATTGATTTCCCCAGTTGTACCCCCCCCCCCCCCCTAGTATGTATGATGCATGCATATTCTTAGCCCCCAAATGCATAACCTTTCATTTATCAACATTAAACCTCATTTGCCACATAGTTGCCCAATTAAACAGTGCATTGAGGTCGGCTTGTAAGTTGAAGACATCCTGTAAGGACGTTATTGCAACACGGTGGATCACACTTATATGAGGGGAAAGTCCTGCAGCCTTGTGTGCCTCCAGCTCATGATTCACAAACTATTTCAGTGCTGCCTGAGGTGTACTCCCTAAAAGGCCTGATACTGACCAGCAGCAATGTTTTCCTCTGCTTGCCACCTTCCTGCTACCAGCAGCTGGCTTGTGAGTATTCAATGCTTGGCCTTGTACCCTGAGCTACATTGCCATCTGCTTTTCAGTGCAGCATGTTAAATCATACGTGCGTGGGGAACAGTTTTACTGCCCGTGTGCTTCCAGTTCTCGATCCACTCACCATTTCGTTGGTGCCTGCAGTGCTCTCTCTGACTGAGCAGACACTGACAGCTTGGAATTTTGTCCTCTGCTTGAGTCTTTCACCCTCAGAGTCTTTCTGTAGCTCCAGCAGGCTTGGTCCCTTGCTTGGCTCCATCCCAGGAGGATTTTACCTCAAGCAAGATTTTATATTGCAAATTTAAAGGCTGACTCTGTCCACAGAGGCCAAAAAACATGCTTCAGCACTTTCCTCTGCAGAATTCTTATCTGAGCTGCCTGGGGCCCTAGCAGCCTCTGGACCTTCACCCCGATTCTGCTGAGTTTAAGATTTTAACATACTATGTCATGTCTGAGGAATCCCAGGCCACTACTATTACCTGCTAGCTTAAAGAGACCTAGATGCTATTCTTGACACAGTTCACACCATTTTCTGTTTGACATTTTTATTTAGTCAGGTTCTCCATTACCGATACAGCGATTAGTTCCACGGAGAGCCTTGTAGCTCTGCTTTTATTGTAAATCTTTAGTTTGGTGTGCAATTGGAGGGGAACACATTTAAACTGCTACTGGGACATGAGCTGTCACAACATAGATGAAATGTTGTACAATAAAAATGCAGACTTATATCCTGCATAGAGGAAGGAAGAACAAAAAAAAAAGGAAGGGGGGGCGCATTCGTTCACACTACTGGTTTCTGGTGCCAAAAGTGAAAATTCAAAATGCACTTGGCTGAAAACCGAAACCAAAATGCGCAGTTTTTAAAAATGAATATATATTTTTTGGAAAAAAAAATACACTTTGATTAAAAAAAAAAAAAAAAAAAAACAATATATACCCAAATTTTTTAGTAAAATATGAAAGAGGATGTTACAGCAAGTTAACTAGATACCAAACATGTCACGCTTTAAAATTGGGCATGCTCATGGAATGGCATCAAACTACAGTACTTAAAAATCTCCATGGGTGATACTTTAAAAATTTCTACAGGTTAGCAGTGCAAAGTTAGGGGAGGTCCAATGCGAGAATTATTGCTCTTACTCCGACGTTCGTAGTGATACCTCACGTGTGTGGTTTGAACACCGTTTACATATGTGGGCGTGGCCCACGGGGGCACTTTAAACTTTCTTTTTTAAATTTATTTAAATTTTTTTGTTATTTTTTTTTGCACTGTCCATTTAAAAAAAATGTAATCACTTTTATTCTTATCACAAGTAATGCATACATCCCTTGTGATAGAAATAATTAGTGACAGGTCCTTTTTTTGGAGAGATATGGGGTCAATAAGACCTTAAGACCCCACATCTCTCCTCTGCAATGTAAAGCATTAGAACAAAAAAAAGCATTGATCTAGTGCTTAAACCCCCCCCAAACAAAAACCCCCGGAACCGGAAGTGACATCGGTCCGGTCCTCCAAGGGCATAGAGATGAGTGGTGGCCATCTTTTCTTCACTGATCTCTATGCTCAGTGCCGGGATCGTTTGATGGTTTCTCCAGTAAGGCTGAGAACTACCGAGTGGCGGCAGGTGGGTGGCATTTTTTCATATCGGCCGATGGCTGATAGGGGTGTTTTCGGCCGAAACTTCAGCGCACCCCTAGTTCACAACATTTTAAACTCGTGAATGAGTCTGTGGCTTCTACCAGTGCTGTTCCCATTCTAGGGTCTTTCAAGGCCCTTTCAAGACCTTTCTGGTGCACCCAGTGTTTCCCTTTGTCCATTATAGAGACTGGATGAACCCGGACAAGATGTTCATTCCTCCCAAACCGTTCGATGATTTTTGTCACAGGTGAGAAATGCTGAACGTGGACCTCCTGGCCTCCAGATTCAACAACAAGCTGGATAGGTTTGTCTCCAGATACAGAGATCCTCTGACAGAAAGAGTGGTTGCTCTGGTGGCTCTTTGTGGTCAGTACAGTCTAATCTATACCTTTCCTCTCCTAAAATGTCTTCCTCATCTGCTCCGCATAAATAGTATCGAAGGCATTCTAGTGATCCTCATAGTTCAAGACTGGCCCTGACAGACGTGGTACACAAACTTGTTAAAACTCCTATAAGATTTTTATTGGCTCTTCCAGATCATCTGAATCATCTGTCCTAAAGACCAGTTTACAATCCTGCTTCACGGTCGATGGCTTTAACTGCATGACTGTTGATGCCCAGGTCTTGAGGGACAGGGTCATTTCCGAATCGCTGATTCCATACTGAAAGCATGGATGTCCACTTGTGCAAGTTCCATCACTGGATATGGATATCTCCTGTGGGATGAATCCTGACCTTTCTACAATTGGGTGTGGATTAGTATTTGGCCCTACGTACCATTTGGAAGCAGATTTTGGGTACACACTATAAAAAAAAAAATCAGGTAAATGTTTGTCTGGTTTTCCTTGATGTTTCACAGCAAGTCAAATCCGAGGATGGTACTAATTGTACAAAAATTCTCTAATGAAAAAGGTTTTTTTTTTTTCATTGACGTTGAAACATTGTAGAGGAGTAGCAGACACTGAGCTCTTGGTAAGGTAGATGATTCTGGCAGCAGCATTCATGATAGACTGAAGAGGGGAAAACCTACTGAGAGGTAGACCTATGAAAAAGGAGTTGCAATAGTCAAGGTGAGAGCTAACAAGGGAGTGAATGAGTAGTTTGGAGGTTTCATTAGTTTAAAAAGGGTGAATTTTAGAGATGTTACAGAGGTGAAGTTTACAAGCTTTTGACATTGATTTGATTTGGTGCTGAAAGAATGGTCTAGGATTACATCTAACACCCTGGCGTGAGGGGAGGGACTGATGGTTGTATTATTGACCTTGATGGAAAAGTCATGGAGGGGGTGGGGGGAAGGGTATTATCAGCTTGGTGTTAGAGAGATCTAGTTTAATCCCCCTGGCGGTAGTGTAGCTCGGGGTTAACTTTACACTCGGGAATACAGTGCAGCGCTTCTCCAGCAATCCCTCCAGTACTTACCTTGTCCTGCGCTCCCGCGATGTCCCCCCTGCAGCGTCCCCAGCCATCTCCTCCGGCCGATGCCGGCATCCGTCTTCCAGGTTCCATTCCCCGCGAGCGTCCTGTGCCCTGCCTGCATTTTTACTGTTCTTTCTGCCTGGAAACTGAGAAATGTCCATGGCGTCCAAAAAGCATCCCTTTAGGTCAAAATCGGTTTTAGACCAGCTAGAGAACAGTGATAGTAAATTGGAACCACTTGCAGAATTGAGTGATAATGATTCGTGGGGAAATTCATCATCAGACACTGAAAACGATTCTGCGACTGAACTCAGCGATGTGTGAACTTGGCGCTCTATTGCAAATTTCAGTGTTTTGGTTTGATTATATTATTGAATTACATTTATGTTTTTATATTATTTGTTATGATTATTATATTATAATTTATGATTTCGTGTTTCAAATTTTATCATACCCGGAATGTTTACTAGACTCTTGTTCAGACAGATTTCAGTGACTTATTGCTAAGAATTACAGGTCTATAATAAAAAAACAACATATTTCCATTGAAAATAATGTACCGCTTTGAGCACAGAAATACTGACATAATCAGACCGCTAGGGAAGTTAAGGAAGTGGTGCGACATCCATATTGATGTATTGGTTAGTAAGACAGTAATGCTAGAGGAGACTGCATTGTTTTGTTATTGACTATATGCACCTTAAAAGTCGTTATATTCAGTTGTTTTAGTATCTGTTGTGCTGTATGGGATGTCGCAGTGACTGATAGCTACTCAATCCAGGGGCCTTATATTAACTGTGGATACACAGTCATAAAGCTGTAGGAACAGGAGTGCCTTGGGACACTCACATACCAAGAAGTGCACTGCTGTTTTTAAGGAGGAATTAAAAAAGAAAGTTATGATTTTAACCACTTGCCGTCCGGTCCATGTATATAAATGGTCGGACGGGAGCAGTGCAGGAGCGGGTTTCCGATCATAAACGGAGCCTGCAATTTTAGCCTATGCGCTCCCTGGGAGCGCGCAGCACCACAAACTGGTGCCCGCTGTGTCTGGAGGAACACCGATCGCTGTATGGGACCTCTGTGTGAGGTCCCAATCATGTGATCACTGATTGGGCAATCAGTGATCACATGAATAGTAGTAAGCAAGATGTCACTTCTGAGATCATTGCTTACTACGTGTGAAATCTGAATGATCTCAGAGATCACATGGTGCAAGGCTATTCACAGCAGCCTTGTACCATGTGACAAGCTGTGACCAATCACAGCTCTCACAGTATTTCTCAATGGCTGCAAGAATGCAGCCAGAGAGAAGGAGAAATGATTGATTTTACAGCCTTTATGGGTGTAAAAGCAATCCATGTAAAAAAACAAAAAAAAAAACCAATCTTCATCACCCCCCCCACAAGTAGTACAGTGTCACTATGGTGACACTGTACTGCTAAGGTGACAGTATGTTAAAATAAAAATGTAAACACATTAAAATATTAATTTGGGTTATCTTTTTTTTTTTTTTTTTTTTACTAAAAAGATAACTGAGTACATTTTGGCCAAGATTTATGAAGAAAGATTATTTATTTGCAAAATTTTATAAAAAAAACACTTTTTTTCAAAATGTTTGGACTTTTTCATTTATATAGCAAAAAAAAAATAATAATAAAAATCCCAGTGGTGAATAAATACCAGCAAAATAAAGCTTTATCTGTCTCAAAAAAAATGCTAAAAAATTAATATGTGTACAGTGTTGCATGACCGCACAATTGTCATTCAAAGTGTGACAGCGCTGAAAGCTGAAAATTGGCCTGGGCAGGAAGGGGGTGAAAGTGTCCGGACTGGAAGTGGTTAAGGATACTGCTTAGGCACAACTGGGATTTTACTTTTCCTGTACATTTAGACTTTTAGAAATTAAAATTTCACTTTTAGAAAGGAAATACTCAGCCATGAAATGCACTAGTACTATGTAAATGAAATGAGCCTTAATGTGATTTTGTTACATCTGACTTTCTTTTTTTCTTCTAAAGATTTGAAAAGGAACGATTACACCCCCGATAAAGTCATATTCCCTCAGGATGAACATGGAGAGTCATCGACCGATCCTGACAATTCCACCAAAGAATCAAAACATTCTATTCGTTTAATGCTGTAACTTGGAAATTACAAACTCATGACAAGTCTCACATCATGGCTGTAAGAGATGGAGTTGGATTTTGCACATATGTGCGTGCTGCTAGAAGTCTTTTGTTTTTATTTTTAGCATTTTTTAAAAAAATATATATGTATTTTTTAAAAGGACTTTTAAAGTTCCTGTCTGCGGTGGTGGCCCAGATGTTGGTAGTCAGTCAGCCCAGAGTCTGCCTGCAGATTCATATTCAATAGCGGGGATGATACTGTGCTGCTTCACCTGAGCTGAGCCGTACAGGAGGTGATCTGCCTGTGGTTACATAACAGAGCAGTCTTTTTTTCCTGCAAGACCTTCTTGTAGAGTTTATGAAATATATTCAAACTTGATTTTAGCTGTGTATAACCGCTATCTTTTATACATTTAAATTTTACTGATTCTTTAGTAAAGCCATGTTCAGCAGACAACTGTTGTAATATATAAAAAGGGGAAAGTGTCCCTTCAAGTTGCCTTGTAAAGAGAAGTGCTTTTTATCATGTAAATAATGCGTGCTTCAGAAGTTTTATCTTCCAAAGACCTCAACTGTACAACATGTATAATGTATATCAAATGAGAATGTACACAGTCTCTTATGGTTTTTAATGATGTATTTAAACCCCTGTACAAAGGTCATCGTTGTTCTGTGGTACCTGTGTAATGAATTACTAAATTGTAAATTATGGGACACTGCAATGCAGCTTAGGCAATGAATTGTAACTTAATTATTCCTGATGTTGAGAGAGCATTTATGTCCAGAGACACTTTTTTTTTTTTTTTTCTAGAGGTACTAAATGCAGGTTTAACCTGCAGAACCTGTATGAAGCTCTATACATTTTCAATCTGTAGTGTATCTTATAGATACAATACTTAACAAGGCACGAACAAATTAGCTGTTAAAATTATTTTATGTTGCTGGGGAAAGATGAGATATACTGTATACATTTTTATATATCATATAAATCTTTAAAAACCTGAAATAAATTTATTCTTCACAAAGGTTTGTACAGTACCTTTTTTTTTTTTCGTGATTAAGTTCTCATGCATACTGGATGTTTTTACAGCGGCTGTTTTTGGCTTTTGCTAGTTTTTTTTGTACAGCTAGTTGAAAGGAATTGGCTCAACGTTCCTTTCCAGATACAATGACCCCCGTCTGTCCCTGGCTTGATCAGTGACTGCCCTTCAGATCTGGAGCCCACTCTGAGACACAGGAAACGCAGACACAAGGTGGTATCTCAGAATGAACTAAATTTATTCTTCCGTGTTTAAACTTATATATGAAACTTCAAACAATGCATAAAAGTATAAAAACCAATCAATTATCAGATATGCATAAGCCAATCAAATGTTACATACGTCAGTCATGCCCAATCATTTGGCATATATGTAAATTATTATTAAATGCGTCAATTATGAACTTTTGTTCAGGACAGAAAGTAGACAATTTCCCTATTTAACATTGGCTATAAATATTTATAATCTTGCGACAGGATATATTCAACCGCAGACTATCACCTGGATGCTGGCTACTGGAAATAAGGGAAGTTAGAACTGGTGGAAAAAGAGGAACTTTAAACTCCTGACAAAAGTACAGTTTAAAACAAAAATTAATCCTTTTAAAATACTAACACAAGTTTAAGATGGATACTCATTCTAAGATGGCAGAACTTAGGCTAATCAAAGAACAAAATGGCGGCACATCAAACTAAAAGGCTAATCCCTTCACTAGTAAACCCCCCCAGCATGTTATCCTACGTGTCCATGCACACATAGACTGTAATGAACATTTTTTGGCAGGGACATTTTTTGGCTGGAAAAAAACCCAGAACTAGTGGGTTTCTAGAGGAGGTTTTTAGCTGTAAAAATGCTCTAATGCGGAAAAACGCCACAAACTTGCGTTTTTTGAACTTTTTTTGACCAAAACAAAAAACAGCTAAAACCGCAAATGTGGGAAAAAAAACACTAAACGCAGCAAAACGCCGCTAAAAGCTAATGCAAAAATGCTAAAAAAACTCATGTTTTTAACATGACTTTACACAGCTAACCTTACCAGCGTTATCAAAACACCCCATGTGCATGGAGCCTCATACATATCCAGTAAGTATTTCATTACTGTAACCATTGTAAATGTATAAAGAATTTCTATGCTAATCTTATCTATCTGAACAAAGTATCAGCTGGCTCTGCTAAGAATATCACAAAAACGTGAAACAAAAATAAACAGTGTTAAAGATGACAAACAAAAATAATCACCTTGCAGTTAATTTATATAATGCTGAACTTTATGTGCTCTTTGCCACTTTTAAAGGAAAGCGGAAACTGGTTGCTATGAAAAGCACAGAGCAAAAAAAAAAGTGGTTGCTACAGAGAAGACAGCAAGATGAAGAAAAATAATACTTTGCCACTTGTTAGGCTTGCTTGCTATGGTGAGCTCAGTGAGAAAAAATAAAATCCAGTGTTTGATAAACTTTGTTCTCCATTTTTATATATGCTCACCGGCCACTTTATTAGGTACACCTTGCTAGTACCGGGTTGGACCCCTTTTTGCCTTCAGAACTGCCTTACTTCTTTGTGGCATAGATTCAACATGGTGTTGGAAACATTCCTGAGATTTTCTTCCATATTCACATGAGTTACTGTTGCTTTTCTATCTTCTCAAACCCGTTTGTCCATTCTCCTCTGACCTCAACAATTTTCAGCCACACAACTGCTACTCACTGGATATTTTCTCTTTTTTGGACCATTCTCTGTAAACCCTAGAGATGGTTGTGCGTCAAAATCCCAGTAGATCAGCAGTTTTTTAAATACTCAGACGAGCCCGTCTGGCACCAACAACCATGCCACATTCAAAGGCACTTATATCCCCTTTCTGATGCTCTGTTTGAACGTCAGCAAGTTGTCGTCACCAGGTCTAGATGCCTAAATGCATTGAGTTGCTGCCATGTGATTGGCTTTTTAGCAATTTGTGTTATCAAGCAATTGAACAGGTATACCTGATAAACTGGCCAGTGAGTATGTATATAAAGGGGTTAGACAAAAAAATGGAAACACTACATGGTTTGTAGGTGTGAAAGTGACGACATGTTTCGTGTTGAAAGCAGAAGTAATATAACATTCTTTTGCTTCTGCTGTGTGATGAGACACCTGGCTAACAAGTCAGAAGCCTCACTTTTGTCATTCGCTGCATGCACTGCTAGAAATACGAAATCATGCCAGAGCTTACTGAGCTTCAAGGATGGCAAATTGTTGGTGCCTACTTAGCTGGTGCTTCTGTGACTGAAGTTGCCAATTTATTTGTTGTGTTGCGTGGTACAGTAGCAAAGGTTATGACGGGATATACAGTTTCTGGGAAAATGTCATCTGATCAGCATAAGCGCGGTCGACATGGTCAACTGACCGAAAGAGACAAAAGGCCATTATGCAGGATTGTGACCCGGAATAAGAAAACAACTGCTACAAAAGTGACTGCAGAGCTCAATCACTGTCATAATGGGACTGTGATTGAGCTCTTCAGTCACTTTTGCAGAAGTTGTTTTCTTATTCTGGGTCAGCTAGGTGTCTCATCACATAGCAGAAGCAAAAGAATGTTACGTCACTTCTGCTTTTAGTGTGAAATATGTTGTCACTATCACACCTGAAAATCATGTAGTGTTTCCATTTTTTTTTTTTTTTTTGCCTAATTCCTGTATAAAAAAAAAATTCTTACTTTGTTGTTCAGAGTACACACTTTCCATACACAAGGCTTAGTGTGAATTCACACCCAGGTGTGTGCAAAGGGCCATCTTCCCACACACAGGATTTGCAGGTTTTTCAGTGCAGGCAGTCCCATTCATGTCTATTGGGATGCTGCGACTGCACAAGCACAATCACAGGTGCGTGTCTCGGAACGCACACGGGTTTGTTTACTAAAGCTTGTTCACTTCAGAATTTTCTGCACTTCTGCAAAGAGACCAATCAGCTTCCAGGTTTTATTGCTAAAGTTTAATTGCACAAGCTGAGGTTAGAAGCTGATTGGCTACCATGCACAGGTGCAAGAGATTCTGAGTAACCCGCTTTAATAAATAATCCCCACTGTCTGCATTTGGAATCACAAACCTGCACGGCTGTCATTTAGAACCAGCAGCTGTGTCTGTGCAGCCGCTGCATCCCAAGCAGACATGAATTGGGCTGCTTGCGCACAGACTCATAGAACACCTGTGCAGACAACAATGAGCCATCGCACTGGTGTACGGATAGGTACGCCCATGTGAATGAGGCCTTAAAGCATCCATCTATTGCTATATTTATAGCGCTGATCTTTTTACCAGAACAATGTATCAGCTGCTGCTGTTATAAAACCACAATACAAACTTGAAGCAAAAATAAATACAGCTAATCGTGCTAATCGACTGCAGTGAAAACAATTCATATTGGGCAAAACAAAAGAAACAGTTCAGAAATAAAGTGCTGTGTTCCTAAAATTTAGAAAAAGGGGACAAAATATCAATGTGATCATGCCTCCAATGGTAAATAAATAAATCTTCTACCCAGTCACCTGCTAAACCAACACTGTTGTAGAAATGGATGCTCCAGACTTTTAGACCTACAATGATCAGCAAGTCTAGTCTGAACTAGACTCACCTTCACTATAGTGCTTTGGTTTCCCACATCTCCCAGCTGGCCACTGACATTCAGCCAGTCTGCTTCTGGGTACCAATCTGCGGACACTCTCATTGGCAGGGCCAAGATGATGTCACTCCCTTGAATGCGCAGGAGTTCATCTCAGCTGCTCTGCCAAAATTGCTGTTTCTTAACCTCTTCCCAACCGGCCCTTGTATATAAACGGCCGGAGGGTGACAGTGCAGGGTCCGGTGGCCGTTTCTGCTTGTGCGCAATCCCCGGGAGCGCGCAGCACCCGTGATCCGGTGTCCTCTGGACATGGTGAAACACCATAAAAATCTGTAAGAGGTCCCGATCATGTGATCACTGATTTGCCAATGGGTGATCGCATG